CCTGCGAACCTGACCTTCATCAGTAAAGCCTTTGTGCAAAAATTAAACTTTTGTTTTAAAAAATGTAGTACTGCTTTTATTAAATGGAGAACATGCTATGAAGTGTAACTAAGACATGTATTTAGCAGTTATTTTCTGGTGTTCATTTAACTGTATTAGTTAATTTTCAAGATTTTTTGTTTTTTCAAAGCAACTGTCCTTTAGTTAAATACTGAAAGTTTTATAGATCCTGAAAAAGGGTTTTAAAAATTGAATGCAAAGATGATCAAGTCTTGAAATCTTAGATCAACAACAGGCAGTGAAGGCTTAGTTTGTACACACTTGGAGTGATTATTATTTGTCTGGAGCCTCCAATAACCTTTCTCAGGCCTTGTACATGACAGACTCCGCATAGAAGTCCGCATAAAGTTTAAAAAAATTTAAGTCCAAACATCTTTTTTTTTTTCGGCTGACGAAAACCATGAAGGTGATGTTCTGTCTATTATTGGAGTCAGTAGCTCCAAGGAAAATGGCAATATTCCAGACTCTATAAAGAGATAAAGATTAAACCTCACTTAATGGTCCATTTCCTGAAACTGGCAAGCTCTACCTTGTATGTCTTGTTTTTTCTTTCTTTTTTTTTTTTTTTTTTTTTTTGGTGGAAGGAGAAGAAAGCAGACAGAAAAGTTTGTTAGAAAATTATGGAAAGAAGGAAAAAAATATCTTGGCCTGCTGGATAGTACAGATTGCATTGCTTGAGAATCTTCCCTGATAACCACTGAAAATTAGTACTGATTCATTGAACTTAACTATTCCAGTGTCGCTGAGTGCATGGTGTCAGTATACTCTGCTCTGCTTCTGAGAGGTCCACATGGTTCAGATCTTAGCTGGAGGGCTTAAGCAACCCCAAGATAATCCTTCATGTCACAGACTGATGTGTAGGCTGAGGTCCGGTAGAAGGACATGGATGTAAAAATGGGCAGAATTTAGGTCCCTAAGGCCAAAATAAATATTCTAAAAATTCTTTGTAAGCTTTCACCCAGCCTTGGAGTTCTTTTCTTTCTTTATTTTGAGGTTGTTGGGTGCCTAGATTTGCACTTTTGTACACACCCAGAGCTGTCCCAGCCTTGATGTGACCAAACAGTACATTGATGCTGAAGATGACTTAAAATCCAGAGGTTAGGAGTTATCCTGCTTTGGTCCCTTTAGTGTCTTTATCTAATCTGACTTCTCACCACTTATTTGATAAATCTGCGAGGATGTACAATGATCTTGAGAACAGTCATTACTTTTTCTAAAAGCAGAGGCAGAAGAGCTGGCTATGCTCTCCTCACTCATAAATCAATACACTAGTGTTAATAAGAAGATCCACATTCTTCTCCTGTCTCCTTAGAGACTGTCCAGACATATTATCTGTTTTGGGATGGAGACAGTCTTTGCCACTCCTTTTGAAGCAGTGTCACTGCAGCAGAGAAGGGTCTAAACAGAGCGTCAAAGCAGATGTTATGTGTTGACTGATGGTTCAGGTGTTCATATCAAAGGGAGAATCCTGGAAAGAACAAGCATACTCCGG